TTTTCCGACTACTGATTCTTCTTCACTATTTCCAACTTTTGCATTCCAGTCACCCATTATTATCAATGCATCTTGATTGCATGTTCGATCTATCTCCGAGTGTATCAAATACAGACACAAAATACTTAATATGCCAGTTTAAGTCATTTGTCAGTTAAATGAATTGCAAGCAATCATTTTGATTTCCCTTTTGACAAATTCTTCATGATAGTTGTGTTATATTTAAGTATGCTAGTTGAACTTGCAATGTGATGAATCCATCTCTTTAGAGGCATATCCTTTGTTCTGTTTTCTTTTCCCCAATAAACCTTTTTAATGCAAATTTAATTATCAGAGTTTTCCTTCTAACAGAAGTATCTCCTTTCAAATTTTTTTCCTCATCACTACTGTTATTGTTTGGTGTTGTTAGCACACAGCAACAAGCCCTAATAGTACTGTGAGAATTTAAACTTAGTAATATAACAGTTTTTAAAAGACAGTGATTGAAATGCATAAATCTCTATAGGCACAAACATCTCCCAAAGAGATAACTGATGACCTATGACTGAGAAACCTTAAGCAGCTAATAAAAAGTTGCTAGAGGTTTTGGTGCTATGTGTGCCTATGTTGACTTACAGCTAACTACTGAGAGAGACCTGTAATTCAGGAAATTGGTGAGTTGACCAGTATATTTAAGATAAGTAAATATGGTACATTTAATATTCACTTCTGCTAGCTAGCATCTTGATAGCGGTCTGTCTTGATAGTGGGGTCATGTTTGATGTGTGTTACTATTCTTCCCCACCCCCCCTCAAAAGTGGGTGGGCCTTGAGCCTTTGACGGGGGGGCGGGGGGGCCTGTTAGAGATTGTGGCTTTAAAATCATATAGGGCCTGAGGGCCACAAGCCTGTGGGCCAAATTTATATTAGTTTTAGAATGAATATTCTTTAAATGACGCAGCAATTATTTGTCTATATGCTGTACTAAACAACTTGGAGTTGCTGTGATGCTGAACACTGTTCCATAGTTGTGTCAAATACCATAATGGTTACCCATTATATATAATGTTTGGATGAGCTTCCAGATTGATTTATGCTGGGACGCAGGAATGGCATCCACTTCCTAAACTAGATGCCTCTAGAAACTCTCTAAACTCTATAAATATACAGAAATTATATTAGTTATAGAACAGAGTTCAGGTCTTTTGTGCAAAGCTGACTCTGACTCTGAATCATATTCAACTTGATATTTAACCACTGCTAAATGAGACTAGTGCTGTTTCATCTAGAGGAACACTCTCCCACTTTGCACATTACTCTTTGTCAATGTGCTGTATGAAGTAATCTGGGTTTTCTGTGATGCTGAACCTTGTGCTATTGGGGTATCAAATACCATAATGGTTTCTCATTGTGGACAGTGTTTAGTGGAGCTCTGAGTAGTAAGATGGGTTTAGAAGCAGAAGGGGCATCCACTTCCTAAACCACATGCCTCTGGAAACTCTATGAACTTGGAGAAACGACGATAGTTATGGAAAGGCATTAGATCTTTTGTTCATAGAGTTGCTATGAGTGTGCTCATTGATGGCAATCAACAGCAACAACTGTTGACCATTAAAAAAAAAAAAAAAAAAAAAAAACCCACCCTTTGAAAAATTCTTAGACTGTAGGAGATCCCACCTGATGTTCAAATTCTTTAGCATGCCATTCAGAAGTGTTTTCCTACAGGTAAGAATTTTATAGGAGGTTGTTTTTATCTTTTGAAATTTTTCATTTATGCTTTTGAAGTAGTGAGATAATGTTCAAGGTAAACAGAAAAGTCATGCTGAAAATTGTCTCTTTTTCAATTAGAAAGTCATCTCAGTATTAAAGAAATAAAAATTGAAAATAAAATGTTGTTTTTCACATCTAAGAAAATTAAATGGTAGTCTACAATATTAGCAAGAATATAAATTTACTTAAGCTTTCTAAAAGGCAATTGGGTACTTAAAAAACTTAAAAGATTTGGTTTTTTGTAATTTTCATTCTAAAATAATTGAAATTTTTGTAAATTAATTTATTTGTTTTTCATTTCAATGAACATCTAGAGATTTTGAAATTCCATTCATTCATTGTTGCACTTTTCTCCCCGCCCCCCCATCCACCCCCCACCCCCATCACCCCCATCACCCCCTGTTTGTTCCTCTCCTTGAAAAGCAAAAGAAAAACTCCTTCATTGGGGTTGGGGCGTGTGCGAGGGGGATTGTGTACCAATGAAATCCTTTTTTTTTAATCCACAAATTTTCATTTTTAAAACATTGGAACCTTACTTTATGAAGTCAATGAAATTAAGCAAAGATACTCAGAAGTAAAAGAAAAATTTACTGTGGTTCAATTTTAGATGTTTTTAGGTATACATGTAATTGAGAAATGAGGAGGGACAAGACACACCAAAATGTCAATAAGTGATTAGTAGTTCTATTAAATTCTGTTCTTAATGTATTATCTTTTGAAGCATTTGTACTCATGATATATAATATCAGGGAAAACACCTACAGTTCAGTTAAGAAGAAATCAAAATTAGTTCTATTTTTGTATTCAAGTTCTCAGAATATAAAAATAATCACGTATATGTAAGTAAATACTGTCTTAATTATCAAGAATAAACCTTTCGGCCCCAAAAGAAAGGCTATCTTGCTCTGGGGAAAAAAGATGCTTACTGCTTTATCTTTTTCTTTAAAGAATAACTTCTGGAGTGTGACATTCAGCCATTTTGATCCATCTGTATTAAATATAATTTTGCTTTGACATAAATTGAAAAGGGAAATTGCAAAGAAGTATAAAATTTTTCTTGCTATTATTGAGCTCATTTCACTGTTCCATTTATTCTCATTATTATGTCCAGGTAATTAATTTTCTCCTCAAAATATTTCATCTCTTAAAAACATAATTTTGAGAGGATTAATATGTTTTCTTAAGTTCATCATCAATATTTAAGAATAAAAATTCTATTTATCACACACAAAAAAAAGAATAAACCTTTCTATTTTTCCCCCCTAGTGTTGCATCAGTGCCAAGAAAACTTTATGAAATGCCAAAATGTTCCAAGTCTGAAAAGATAGAGGATGCTTTATTATGGGAATGCCCTGTGGTAAGATTTGCTTCAGAGGGTTTGTTTATAGAATAGTTTTAGCTTAGAAGGACTGGTGTTCATTAAGAAAGTGTGTAAAGGAATGAAACTTTAATAGTATAGAGGTTTATTAGTGTTTCACAAAATCAGAAAAAGAGTGTATCTTTTATTTGTCTCATTCTTATCTTAAAGAATTATATAGTAACATTGTAAACATACTTTAAAACCACGAAATACATTTTGAGGTGCCATCTTTTAATCTTGTACAGTAGGAAATTTTATAAACTTTAAAAGTTTTGTTAAGTAATAGAAGCTAGTTTATAATCTTTAATATCTTAACAGATTATGCTATTTAGTATGTAGAAGCAATAATAAAGTATCTTTTTTATTACAATATTTCTGTCACATGGCTCTTTGAAAATATAGTCTTAGTTTTTCTTATACAAATCTTATTAGACATGTAATAGGATAAACTCATTTCATCAGATCATCATTGCCCCGTGTCTATTTTCAGTACAGTACAATTAAGTATAGGTTGTCATGGGAGGTTAGCAGGTATACTGCCGGGGAGGACTCAAAGGACTGTGGAAAAAGAATGCACTGAGTTTTATTTAAAAGTTAGGAAAGCATATTATAGACTAATACTCAGTCTTTAATAATATTAATTAATGCATTTTATTAATATGAGATTATTAAAACATCTTTTCAAAACTTTTGATCACAAAACTTTCATTTATGAGGAATATTCACTTTCTATGGGAGGGATTGTCTTGGGAAATGCACTTAAATGCTGCAACAAATTAATCAGACCTTTTAATTCTGTTTGGTTATTTTTGAGGAAAAATAGTACATTGTAACATGTGACTGAAATATTAAAAGAGGCTATATTCTGAAGGTTAGGTTAGTGGATTTAGAGAAGAAATCAGAGAGAACGAGAGAAAGCTTAATGCAGCTTTATTAAAGGGGGGAGGGAGGGAGCTCCCGGGTGAGTTCCTCATCCTGGAGAGGCAGAATGAGAAGTCACACTGAGAACTTACTGGGGAGGATTTTTATAAGCAGAGTCTTTAGGGAGGGACATTCCACTTTGATATAGGAACCGCCTGCTAGCTCAGCCAGACATGCAAGGCCATTTGCTTTTCTTATCAGCAGCAAGCAAGGCCATCAGCATTTGAGTTCTGAATTTTTCATTCTTCTCTTTGGCCCCTTTTGCCCAAACTAACACTGAATATACTATGTAAAAAGTCTTTTTATTATTTTTTAAGACTCCTTATGCATAAAATTAGTCTTCCAGAACTGCTTCCTCAGTTTTTCAATGGGAATTTTCTGTCCATATAAGGCTCCATTTTTTTTTTAATTTATTTTATTTCATTATTTTTTGTGTGTACCGTCAAATCAGATCTGACTGGTACAGGAGGAGATTGTTCCTCCTTCTCCAGCAGAGCATCTGGTGGATTTGAACTGTGCACCTCTGAGACTGTAGTTGCAGCTTCTTGCCACTAGGCCACCAGAGCTCGCCAATCCACTTTAAATAAGAAAATTTGACATCTGTATTTTCTTCACCCTTAACTTTTACACCTATAACAACTTAGTTTTAATTTCAATGAAAATTTGCAGACTCTGGATTTCCGTTCATTCATTGTTGCACTTTTTTCCCCTCCCAACCCTCCCCCCTAGTACACTACCCTCTTGGAAAAGTAAAAGAAAAATTTTTTCATTGTTTAAAATCCCTCCCCCCAGGTCCACTCCACGATACAGCCTTCGCTCTGGACTCCTGTCATGACAAAAATCCCTAATAATTTTCCCTCGTCAACAGTTTTCTCCCTCATCTGTTTCAATGCAGTATACATCATTGAACCCATCCTTCTCAGTCTCCTCCCAACCCCGAGGTCAGTCCTGCTTTATAACAGTGGCACCATGCAGTATTTGTCTTTTGTAACTGAGATACCTCACTCAGCATAATGTTCTCCATGCAATTTTGAATAATATTGCGTGAGTTCCTTATTTTTCAATGCAGCATAGTATTCCATTGTGTGACTGTACCACAGATTCTCTATTCATTCATTTGTTGATGGGCACTTAGATTGTTTCCAACTCCTTGCTATTATGAACAAAGCCGTGATAAACATGGATATTCATATATCTGCTTGGATGTCAGTTATGGTCTCTTTAGAATATATTCCCAGTAGTGGAACTGCTGGGTCAAATGGTATCTCTATTTGCAACTTTTTGAGAAAGCACCATACCGCCTTCCACAGCGGTTAACACCATTTTACTCTCCCACCAACAGTGAATAAGGGTTCTAGTTTCTCCACAACCTCACCAGCATTTGTTGCTTGCTGTTCTGTTAAATTTTGCAATTCTGACTGGGGTGAGATGATATCTCATAGTTGTTTTGATTTGCATCTCTTATAGAGCTAGGGATTTTGAACATTTCTTCATGTGCTTGTTGGCCATCTGAATGTCTTCTTCGGTGAAGTGTCTGTTCATATCCTGTGTCCATTTTTCTATTGGATTATTTTATCTTGTTGTGGTGACAACTTAGTCTTTTAATCAATTTTAATTAAAGGAAGAAATGACTTTTTTAATTGAGATGCTTTAAAGATCTCAGTGTAGAAAACCAAAAATTCAGAGTAGTCCTATAAAAATTTCTTGCTATTGTTGTTAGGTGCCATCACATCACATACAACTCATGTTGTTGTTAGGTGCCGTAAAGTCAGGTACAACTCATAGGGATCTTATTAACAACAGATCTAAATCCTGCCCTATCCTATGCCAGCCTCATCATCTCTGACACACTTGAGCCCACTGCTGCAGTTACTGTGTCAATCCATCTCGTTGAGGGTCTTTATCTCTTTCATTCACTCTCCACCTTTCCAAGCATGGTGTCCCCTTTCCAAAAGAATAGCCTCTCATAGCAGTGCCCAGCATATGTGAGATGAAACTTCGCCATCCTTGCCTCCAAGGAGAACTTCAGCTGTACTTTTTAAAGACATACCTATATTTGTTCTTTTAACAGTCTAAGCATATTTAGTACTCTTCTCCAACACTACAATTTAAAGGTATCAGTTCTTCTGTCATCGTCCTTATTCATTGTCCAACTCTCAGATGTGTAGCAAGTGATTGAAATGACCATGGCCTGAATCAGGTGCAATTTAGTTTTCAAACTGACATCATTTCTCCTTAGTAATTTGGAGAAATCCCTAACAATGGACTTGCCCAAAGCATTATATCTCCTGACTTCTGGAGAAGTGCATTGATTGTAGATCCAAGTAAGGTGAAATCATTGACAATTTCAATCTTTTTTTCTGTCTATCATAATGTTGCTTGTTGGTCCAGTGGTGAGAATTTTTGTCTTCTTGATGTTGAGATGTAATCTGTATTAAAGGCTGTATTCTCTGATCTTCTGTAGCAAGCATGTCAGGTCCTCACTTGTAGCAAGTAAAGTTGTGTCATCTACATAATGCAGGTTGTTGAGTCTTCCTCCGATCCTGATGCTACATTCTTCTTCTTCAGAGCCTCTCAAGTAATTTGCTCACCATACAGATTGAATAGGTATGGAGAAAGGATAGAATCCTGACATAAAACTTTGCTGATTTTAAACCTGTGTATATAACTCCTAGCAACCCTGTAAACAGCTGATCTGAACCTTTTCTTACCTGCACTTTTGTCATCCCCTACACACTTGAACCTGTTCTTGCAATTGCTAGATCAGTCCATCTTGTTGCAGGTCTCCCTCTCTTTGACTCCCCACTTCTGCAAGCATAATGTCTCTTTCCAAAGAATAGTCTTTCCAAAGACATGTCCGAAGTCTATGAGACAAAGCTTTGCCGTTCTGGCCTCTAAGGAGCACTCTGGTTGCACTTTTTTCAAAATGTATCTGTTTGTTCTTTGGCAGTCCATGGGATAGTCAGTACTTTTATCCAACACCACAACTCAAAGGCATCTAATTCATCATTTTTCCTTAAATATTTTATTCTCTTTTGAAATGAACCAAGGTTTTTTCCACTGGAATAAAACTAAGAAACATGTTGAACTGTTGTAAGCATCCTAATGTAAAACCTCACTTAAATTAGTACTTTGCTTTTCCATAATATGGTTGGTTGTAAGCTGTCTGAGTCATAGCAACCCTGTCTTCAGGAAAGTGAGACACTACCTGGTCCTATGCCTCCCTCAGACTTATTACTTCTCTCTCCCTCTGTGTAAATCCATCTGATGGAGAATCTTTCACTTTTTCAGTGATGCTCACTTTACCTAGCATGGTATCTTTCTCCAGGAACTAACCCCTCCTAATAGATACTATGTCCAAAATTTGTGAGACAGTGTGTCACTATCCTCCTTTTTAAGGAATTTTCTGACCGTACTTCTTCTAGATAGGTTTGCTTATTGTAGCTATTCATGTTACAGTCAATACTCTTCACCACAATAATTCAAAGGCATGAATACTTCATTCATTTTTATTCATTGTCCATCTTTCTCATGCATGTTGTTTTTATACACCATAGAGCCAGAACCAACTCATAGCTAACCCTTCAGCAGCTTTTTAGAGGCTGTACATCGTATGAGTGTAGATTCCCTATCTTTCTTCTTTGCAGAAGCTGGTGGATTCAGATTGTGTGCCTTTGTGTTGGCAGTACAGCATCTTAGCACTAGGCCACTAGAGCTCCCCCAAACAAGCATGTTTATGATGTAGTTGAAAATACCATGGTTTAGATCACCTTAGCCCACAAAGTGACATCCTTGTTCTTTAGCACTTAAAATAAAAATCTTTTGCAGCACATTTGCCCATTGAAATATGTTACTTGATTTCTTCACTGCTGCTTTCATGGGTGTTAATTGTAGACCCAAAAGTAAAATTGAATCCTTGATAACTTTAGTCTTTTCTTCATTTATCATTTAGTTTCCATTTATCATGATGTTGTTCATCAAACTAATCGTGAGGTTTTTTGTTTTATTTATGTATAGTCTTGATTAGTAAACACTTTAAGGCTTCTTCACTTTTAGCAAGAGAAGTTAGCTCATCGGCATAGTATAGGTTATTAATGAATCTTCGTCCAGTCTGTGTCAGTGAAGAGACTAAGATGTGCCTTATCTAGACCATGGTCTTCTCAGTTGCTTTCTATACCTCTGAGAGCTGGACAATGAATAAGGATAACAGAAGAAGAATTGATGCCTTTGAGTTGTGGTGCTGTAGAAGAGTATTGAACATACCATACCATGGACAGTCAAGAGAACAAATAAGTCTATCTTGGAGAGGGTAAAACTAATTTTGAAGCTCCATCTCTCATAGGGTAGAAGGTCAGTGTGAAAGAGGAAGACCCTGGATGAGATGGATTGATACAGTGGCAGTAGCAATAGGGATTGGTGTGTCAGAGATGGTCAGGTTGGCTTAGGATAGGGCAGAGATCAGAGCCACTGTTCATAAGGTTGCTATGAGTCGTTGTCAATAGCACATAACAGTAACAACCTCTAATATTGATAATGCCTTGTTCATATCATCCAGCTTCTGGAATTATTTGCTTAACATATAGATTGACAGTGAATGGCATGCGATCTTTTGTATAGGCATTTAGTTTAGACCTTTATATATACTGCTTTAAAATACAACTATCCCTTTTTAAAGGGAAGATATGAAGAGTACTTCTTTTAGAACTTTTAATAGCTTTGTAAAAATAATGTTTAAATACGACACCATAATGTAAACGTATTTAGTTTCCTGTGAACTCATTGTAAGACAGTTGTTGTTGTTGTTGTTATGTGCCATCAAGTCAACTACAACTCATAGCAACCCTGTGCCACAACAGCTCTTAACCCTGCTCTAACCTGAACTAATCTCACTGGCTCTGACACACCTACCCTCATTACCCCAGTTATTGTATCAATCTATCTCATCCAGTGCCATCTTCAGTGCTTCCCTCAACCCTTCCAAGTATGACATTCCTTCTTCAAAGTTAATAATGTTAAAAGCAACACAGACAGCACTGCCACCTTACTTCTTTCCTTGACATTTGAAAGGGAAAATAAATCTTTAGGAGTATATATATATATAAACTGTTTCTTTATTCTTGACTTTTCATTTTTCAGCCTAAGTATAATGCTAAGTTAATTTCCACTTTTCTCATAGAACTACCCTATTTTTACAAAATCAAAGAGGAGCCTTTTGTTTTTCTCTTCTGCATTAAACTTTAATCTTGTAGCGCCTCACTGGTAGGAGCACCCAAGTAGCTTCCCTTTCATCCTTCTAGGGCAGTTCATTAGTTACACATGTTTTCTTTAAACCCAATTCCATCTTCTATTCTTTGGCTGCCTTGATTCTATATTCTAAATTTTCATTTGGGGTTGAAGAGAACCATAGTGAGTATTGAGGTAATTTACACTTTGGCCATTTTGAGCCCTATCACAAGGAAGAATGAGTCTTAGAGGAAAGGAAAAACAGAGCATTATGAAAATGATTTTAGGAGATTATTCTTAATTGACATGCTTTTATGCATGGTTTTAAGAGCTGTTGTTTTTACTTGTTAGCAGTAGTGTATTAATCCTCTCTACTTAACATTTGTTATATGCTTAATAATAAACTATTTAGGAATTGTTTAGGAACTTTATGTATATAAACTCATGTAATGATGAAAATAATTACCTAAAAACTTATCTTTTCCTTGACTTCTCTCTTTGTGCAATAAATATTTCTCCTTAGGTTTATTTACTTATTTATAAATTACTTATTTGTTATTTCTTTAAGTGATTTGCTATTTTTTCTGGACATTGATTCCCATGAATTGTTCAAGGCCAAACAGTCTAATTTTTTTTTCTTCTCAAGGGAGAAATACTTCCCAGTCCATCAGATTATAAATCCTCACTCATTGCACTGACTGCTCATAACTGGCTACTTCGTATATCTGCCACCACTGGAGAAATCCTTGAGAAGATATATCTTGCTTCCTATTGCAAATTCAGGTATTAACTATGACTTTATTATTCAGAATTTTATTATAAAAATATGAGGCCTGGGAATATTCTCTTCTTTTTTTCCCCCAGCACATACCAAAAACTAGGTTTATAAACTTATTTTTTTTATTCTATGTTCATAATTACACTTGAATTTTTAAGGCTAGGAAGCCTATACCACTTTAGAGTAAAAAATATATATGAAAGTAACATTTTAAAACTTCTCATGTTTCCATCTTAAAGTAAAAATTATTTTGTTTTCTAAGTTTTGAATAGTTACATCAGACACTTTTATAGACTTTAGAACAATAAAATTATGTAAGATATGCACATGCTTACGCACACGTCCCCCGTTGCTCTAAGATTGATTCTAATTCATCAGACAGGGTTAGAATTGCTCCATAGGCCATAGGATTTCCAAGGCTGTGATTTTTACGGAAGCAGATTGCTCCATCTTTCTCCCATAGAATTGCTGATGGGTTTGAACCACTGACATTTCACTTAGGAGCTGAGCACTTTGAAAGGTCAGCAGTTTAAACCTATGAGATGCTCCATGGAAGACCAAATGGCAGTTTCCTTAAAGATCACAGAATTATGTCTTAAAGAATAGCCATCTAAGATGCAACTATTGGCCTTTTCATTGGGAGCAAAGAAGAGTAAAGAAAAGCAAAGACTTGGAAATAGAGTAGACCACATAAACCACAGCTACCACTAGCCTGAAGCAAGAAAAACCTAGATTATGCCTGCCCACCACTTCTCACTGCTTTGATTGGGATCACAATGGCAAGTGCTAGAGAGGATGGGAGAAAAATGTAGAACAGATCATAAAAAAGACAAGATTTATTTGTCTCAGACAGTGGTAGAACCTTGGGGCTGGCCCTTAAGCACCTTTCCAACTTGATACTGAACCCATCATAAGATTGCCTTTTATCCAAGTGATAGACAGACCTATAAAGTGAACAGTAACACTCATGAGCAACATGTTCTTCAAAACAGTCAGCAACATGACACTAGAAGGGTACTGTTTGCTTAAAAACAAAACTGCAAAGTTAAAAGGGACGGGAAAGAAGGGTGAATAGAGTTTGGGAGCCCAGGAAGAAAGTGGTAAGCTTGTAATTTACATTAAGGGAAATTATGTGATTAATGTCATGAATCAAATTGTGTATACATTATTGAAACTAACTTGCTCTGTAAACTTTCAGACCAAATTAACATGTCCAAAAACAAAGGAGGAGGGGAATTCACAGCCTTGGAAATGCTATAGAACGTTTATCCTGTATCCTTTAGGATCATTACGAGTCCAAATTGACTTGATGGCAGTGAATTCTGTATCTTTTCAGATCTGTAGAAAACCTGCTGAAGGGTCATCGATGAGTCAGTTCTGACTCGATAGCACATCACAACACAAAAGGGATTTTTACAGCATAGACAAGCTGATCTAATTGCATAACTCTCACAATTCTTTTTAAAAAGATACTTGAGCTGGGACACTCCTCAAGAAGTGATTGCAGTCAAGTCTGCTCAGAACAAAATCTCTGCAGTGGCCCGCCAGGTATACATGTTTAAATTTCTAGTAAATTGAATTTATCTCCATAGTGTTTTTTTCTGTTAATTGGTTATCAAAGACATGATATTCTTTACTTTCTGAAGTAAGCTGTGGCAGTTGAGGGGTACCTTTTTGCTTTCTTTTTCTTTCTTCGAAGATTTACCAAATTATAAATAAGCTTGCTTCTTTGACTGTGTGTCTAAAGAAGAGAAAATGGCACATAGGGGCACAGGACCCTGAGCGTCTCTCTGAAAGGACCAGAGGGAATGAAAACAGCACAACCCCTTACTGCACCACAGCAGAAAGCAGATAAACAGCCTGTAGCCCAGCCCTCTGGTGCCTCTGGAGCCACATCAAGGTTAAGAGGTTCTTTTATTTCTTGCTGACTCACAAACTCACAGTACCAGCAGTGGAGTTTATTAAGAAAGGAGGTTGGAGAGTAGGGTAGGGAAAGAATATCACTCAATGTAACCCCAAGTTTTAGCCTAGCAGTCCCAAGACACAGTTCCCCAATAAGTGCAGGCTTCAGTTTCAGTCAGCAGTTAAGCCCAAACCATCCAGCATGGTTTTCCTCAGAGCACTTATAACCAAGTCATCCAGCAGGGTTTACCTCAGAGCAATTACCACAGCTTCTCCTTCAGACATCCAGAATGAACAGCCAGACCTTTAATTGTGGCAAGCACAAATTCATGAAGCCACAGGTCACACCTTGCCACTATTTGTCTACAGCAATGCCACAGTCTCTCCATCACCAGGGTCCTGCTGCTACAAGCCTTGCTTGCCTCAAGTCTTTCTTGCCTCAAATGTTGCTGTCCAGTGTGGGAAGCACTCTTTTATCCTAGTCCCTTAGCTGATGCTGATTTGAAAGGCCATGTTGATTTGTGAGACCATGTGTCTGCAGTTAAGGTAGCTGGAAACCAGAGGCTAAAAAGAAGTGCCAGCTTTTAGTCTAACACCACATTGTGTATATATCTTTTTTTATTGAACACTTTTATTTAAAGTAGTTACAGGCTTGACACTTAGAAGTTTCTGTTTCTTCATATTCTAGACTATCTAGAAATACCAATTCTTATATTTAGAGTCTGTGTTCTAGGTCTTTGTTATTTTATTATTTTTATTTTATTTTATTATTTTGTGTGTACTGTCAGATCGGATCTGACTGGTACAGCAGGAGATTGCCCCTCCTTCTTCAGCAGAGCATCTGGTGGATTCGAACACATACCTCTGGGATTGCAGTGCGGCTCCTTGCCACTAGGACACCAAAGCTCCCTGGTCTTTGTTATTTTTAATTTTAACTACTTCAGTATTTTCTCATCAGTGTTTCTTATGACCCAATAGTCAAGCACTGGTGTGACTATTTTACCTGTATTAACTGATTTAATTATCAGTACAATTTAGGGTTGTTGTTGTTGTTGTTGTTGTTGTTGTGTACTGTCAAGTCAGATCCAATCCATAGCTGACCCTCTGGCGGGTTTTCAGAGGCAAGTTTTCAGATGGCAGTTAAAATCACGTGGGAAAAAATTGTCCATCCTTCTCATTCAAACAGTGTGCTTTTGAGATTGTAGCACAGCTTCTTGTCACTATGCCACCAGAGCTCCCACAATTTAGGGTAGATAATTTGACATTATCACCCAGTTTTACAGATGAAAAGACAGAGACCCAGAAGGATTGCATAACTTACTCTAATCATAATGCTACTAAATAATAGAACCTGGATCCAACTCTTGACAAAATCACGACTACACCATACTACTATTATAGAAATTCCTGTAACACTTATGACAAGTAAAGTTTATGCAGAATTTTAGAGTGCCTTTTAAAAAGTTATTTTCTAGGGAGCTCTGGTGGCCTAGAGGCAGAAGCTGCACAGCAATCCCACAGGTGTGCAGTTCGAATCCACCAGATTCTCTTCTGAAGAAGGAAAGACAACTTCTTCCTGTACCAGTCAGATCCAATTTGATGGTACACACACAAAAAATAATAAAATAAAAACATTTCAAAGGAAAAAAGTTATTTTCTCTAACTTGTTTATAAACAAGCATCAAAACCTTGCTAACCATCCAGTGTTTTCCTGTCATGCTTAGTGCCATGTTACATATCTTGTCTGTCAGCTCTCCTGCAGTAAACCCTGCTTTTGTTTCCCCTCTCATCTCTTGTCTTTGGTATCCTACTAGAGTTTATTATTTGACCTTTTTATATCTTTTTCTTTTTTACAGAGTTTATCTATAAGCATTTTTTTAACCTTTTCCTGTATCTTGCCTAGCTCCTTGCATCACAGTTACAACTGCATGGCTTTTGTTGATATCTTCTCCTTTTTCCTGATGTATTCAGTATGACAATCTTAAGAAAAAAAGACCTACTATTGCTTCTCTTGGGTTTTTGTTGTTGTTGGTTACTGTGGTTTATTATTTCTTTTTTTTAATTATTAAATTTTATTAGTTTTAATCAACATTTACTGGGATTTTGGGTTTTCATTCATTCATTGTTGCACTGTTTTCTCTACCCTCCTCCCCAGTTTGTCCTTTTTTTCCCCACCTTGAAAGTCTGTTTTAATTGTCCAATTGTCACAGTGCCTGTCAAAGCCAGTTCTGATTAATCTCCTTTGTCAGTGTGTCCTTTGCCATTCCCTATCACTCCTCCCTGAGAGAGACTTCCCCTGATTCATAAGGAAAAGGGGACGGCGTATTCTCTTAGCTGCTTTCTGCTGAAAAGGGATGCTGTAGGTTTCAGGGTGAAGATCAAGAAAAATAACATGCACATTATTGCTTCTCTTGTTAATACTACTCTCCTATTTTCATTCACTATATTGACCTATCTTGATAAAAAAAAACACAAAAGTAGTATAACAAAATATTAAAATATTTTCTGTGCCTTCTTAAACAGCCTTGTCTAATTTGCATTTTTTTCAGAATATGTTCCAAAAGAACAAGACCTTCAATCTAGTTCTGCACAGAACTATTAAAGTGTTTTAATTGTTGTCATTTGGGTAACGCAGTTAGCCCATTCACTTATTAACCCAGAGACTAGAGTTCTAAAGCTAGCCAGAAGTACCTTGGAAGAAAGGCGTAGTGATCTACTTCCTAAAATATTAGCCATCCTTGAAAATCCTTTGGAACACTTTGACACTCTGGGGTCAAGATAAGTTAGAATTGACCCAATGGCAACTGGTTTTAATATTTTAAAGGTCTTTCTGGTATTTCTGTATTTTAGAATCTTCTCTATCCATCTTTAGCTACTAAATATTAGCTCTGGCTCAAAATCATAAAAAAGACAAGACTTACTTGTCTGGGAGACTGGTAAACCCCGAAGCTGACCTTTAAACACCCTTCCAAACTTGATATTGAACCCATTTCAGGAGACTACCTTTTAGCCAAACTATAGACAAACCTATAAAGAAAACAGTAACACTCTTGAGTAATATACTCCTCATATATATATAAATATGTATTATATATTACATATAGTATATAATATATATTATATAATGTATTATATATTATACGTAATATATAATATATAAAAGATTAATCAGACATTGTGATTCATTAACCTATTATAAAAAGGTAATGAATGATATATAAACTATGTCTGTCTTCTTAATTTTAGCATAGAGACTGACTTACATCTGAAGGTCTTGGTTGGTTCAGTAAAAATTCACCTATAACAAAGAGCTTTAACCATTTTTTTATAGTTTTGGGTTTTGTGTGTGTGTTTTTGGTTTTTGGGTTTTTTTGTGGTTGTTTTTTTTCATTTGATTGAATGTTTACAAGTCATTGTGGTTTTTCATTCAGACATTTTCTTTTACACAATTTCGATCATTCATACACATTTTTATAATAGTAGGTTGATTGATTGTAATATATGATTAACCTTTTTTTTATATATTGCTTTTCTCTTTACCCAGCTCATTTACTTAATCTCATTCCCCTCTTCCACAGAGAAAAAACAGTCAAGTTTTAGTTACTGTTTTTCTGTTTTGACTCTCGTGGACATTCAGAGCAGTGTTGCTGTGAAATGATATGCCCATAACTGCATGTGTTTTGAGTAGGCTGTTGTTAACTGTTTTAATTCCAATTTATAATATGAATTCATGGCCTTTTGTTACTAAGAACTATTTAATGTTATGTTTGCTTTTATAGATAGTGTATGTGAGCTCATGCATTTGTATTGCTAAAGGTAGATTTTGAACATGAGTACTTCTTAAGTAATTTTGCAATCTAGATTAGGGGATGTTTTTAACTCATTAAAATGTCTACATAAACTGCATGCTAGGACAGTTGGACATTTTAAACTCATTAAAAAAGAGTTTGTCGGGGAGCTCTGGTGGCCTAGTGGCAAGAAGCTGCACTGCAATCCCAGAGGCGCACAGTTCGAATGCACCAGATGCTCTGCCGGGTAAGGAGGGACAATCTCCTCCTTTACCAGTCAGATCCGATTTGACAGTACACACACACACACACAAAAAAAAAAAGTTTGTCAGAAGTATTTTGTAGTGCAGCCTGTAATCATCATGTCTTCTTCCAGGCAGGCATTCAACAGTCTGTATTGCTGTACCTTGCAGTATTCCGTGTTCTACCTTTTTCACTCATAGGAATTTTGGAAGTCAACAAAAAAGTAAGAACGTCTAGTGACAATAAAATGTAACATGATTATTTAATTGTTTATAGTATATTTTAATTGGGAATGTTCTCTTGGCTCTAAAAAGTTTGTTGAAATACCTGAGACTCTATGACTTGAGAGAACCTAATTGTCTTTGCATCCTTCCGCATGTCTCTGCTTCTGTGATCACCTACAAACCATTTTCTAAAATTACAAAATTAGTAAGATTTTCTTTTCAAAAAGAATATGCAGCACTTGTAAGAATGAACATTAAAGGAAGATGAAAATCTCTTTAACAAAATGCCTCCTTTGAATTGCATTATTCAGGTCTAACGCTTGTTTTACACCAGGAGTTTTAACTAATTTACAACATTGTCAAATAACATTTGTGTTAGGAAGCTAAGCAACTACCAAGAGCCTAAGGATAGTAAGTGGGGAAGCTGGAATTTGAACGTAGGTTTGACTTTAAAATGTCAGACAGAATTAGAGTAGGGTGACTACTTTCTCAGAGAGTTTTTTGTATGAAAAATGTGTTTGAATTATACAAATCCTCCTTTTTTTAAAAAAATATTTTTATTATTTGTGTGTGTGCATGTGTACCGTTAAATCAGATCTAACTGGTACAGGAGGAGATTGCCCCTCCTTCCTCGGCAGAGCATCTGGTGGATTTGAACCGTGCGCCTCTGGGATTGAAATCCTCCTTTTCAACATGAAGAGTCAGGATCAATGACTAAAGAATCATGAGCTAGATAGGATCAAAGCAAATCATAGTTATCGATAACTCTGAGAGATGACAAAACAGTACAGCTCATAAATTTAATATTTCTCTTTGTGCTTCTAGATTAAGTAATTGTGTGTATTTATTATACAGCTGGAATAAACACTTAACAGAGTCACATTGTTTCACGGTATTCATACATGTCCAAGGTAATCATTTGAGAGATTTAATTTTGTTTATAGTTACATGTATGTGAAGTCTAACTTTCACTTACTATATATAATTAGACTACCCACTGACCAGTTTCAGAATATAGTAAGCTATTTACTAAGGCAGAAAATCTTCATTAAGTAAAAAAATTTATCTTTAATAGAAAAAGATTTTTTTTATTTCATACCTTATTCTTCCATTGCTATGAATATTTGTCTACTGGCTTGTCTTAAATATTAAGATAGGCACAGAATCAACTTTATCTGAGCACTAGGGAGAATTATGACAGAATTTAGCACAAGAATGAAAAGGGAGGCATACAGTAAACCAAAGACTTACTCAGAATCAGCTAGGTGTTTGGTTTTTATATTACTGATGGAAAAATTAGTGAACAAGGTGATATTAAAATTTTTTAATTGGTAGTTTTTAAGAGAATTATTTTCCTTAATCCAGTATTTTCACCTCTGATTAGCTAAACACTAAGTCTCTACATAAAGAAATTTTGACATAAAAAATGAACTCCTGACATAATATTCATGGTAGAGTCTATATTCATTTCTAATTAGATGATCTCAGCAGATTCCTGTGTCCAAACTCTGGAGCAAATAAAGTGAAGCAAATGAATACGTCTTCATTTTGAGGAGCATGTGCTAAACTCTGATTAGTGTTCCACTTTGAGACTCCAGGGGCTCACTACTCACCCTAATCACACACTAGTCTCTAGTTGCTAAATTATAATCATTAATGTTATTATGTTCAGCATCAGCGTCATAGTGATGGCCTGAATGTTAAGCAGTATCACAAAGCACTGTGGACACTCAGAGGACTGGCCCTCTGGTCTTTTCTCAGGTGATATCTACCTTTCCCCCCAGATTTTCGGGAATGTTACAGATGCTACCTTATCTCATGGAATACTGATTGTGATGTACAGCTCAGGACTGGTCAGGCTCTACAGCTTCCAAGCCATCACTGAACAGGTAGAGAAAATAAAACTTTTATCATGCTATAATTAACTTGAGATTTAGTCTGGGGTATAATTTTTAATGAGATGTTTTTAGATGCTAGTGCTTGTGTGATTCTTGTTACACAAAAGTGTACAAATGCAGAAAGACAAAGTAATCTTGAGGAGGAAGGTGGGAAAGATTAACAGAAGAACTAGTAACAGATAAAGACATTTCTCTGCCATATACATGTGAATTTGATTTTCTTCAGACAGTAAGTAAGTAGGTGCTAAAGCCATTATTTTTGTTTTGTTTTGTTTTTAGTTCATGCAACAGAAACTTGACTTAGGGTGTGCATGCAGATGGGGTGGGACTACTGGAACTGTAGGAGAGGCTCCTTTTGGCATTCCTTGTAATATTAAAATCACAGGTATGCGACTATACAGTATTTTTTCATCTTAAAAAATAGTGGTCATATAGATAGTTATTAATTGTAATCATCTAGATGGTTTCTTTACAGTTTAATCATGTATTCAATTCTTTTACTCTTACACTGCACGTTTCTTGCTATCAATATCAAATAGATCTCAACAAGAATCCCTCAGTTATTCATGGGGCCTGGGGATGCTGGGCTTTGCTTGGTCAGAAATCAGTGACCTTTGACAAGGCACTATAATCTTTCTGGTTGGTCCTTAGTTTCATTATTTCCAAAATTTCAAAATTATGAGTTTGGAGCAAATAATGCCGCTTAGCTCCCTTATTACTTAGTATCTTAAGATTCTGTGACACTTACCTGATGTTAAGAAGAATGTGTTTCTTAATATATTACTATGCTGTTTGAACATAGAAGTTAGACAGGCAACTTCGTAGTATATTTAAAGATTGACAAAGAACACAAAAAATTATACACTGTCTACAGAGGAAAAAACTGGACATGGAGACACAAGTCTACAAGCATCTTTCTGACAGGGCCAGAGGGAGTAAGAACACAGCCCCTCACTGCCTCAGAGGAGAAAGTAGATTAAGAGCCTATAGTCCAGCCCCGTGGCACCTCTAGAGCCAAACCAACAGCAAGAGGTTTGTTTATTCATTGCTGACTCCCAGATTCACAGGTAGGGTACCAACAATGAGGTTTATAGGGCAGTGAGAGAGGGAGTCAAAGACTATCAGCCAAGTCCACTCATTAGCCCTATAATACCAAGGAAGAGTTCCTCAGTAAGTTCAGGCTCCAGTTTTCAGTTCCGCAGTCAAATCCACATCATCCAACAAGATTGCCTCAGAGCAGTTTTAACTCCCCCTTTCCTTCAAACATCCAGCAAGAAGAGCCAAACCTTCAACTGTAGCCAGCACAAGTCTCAGGTCACACCTTGCCATCATTTGTCTACAGCAGTGCCACAGTCTCTCCACCACCAGGGTCTCCCTGCCGCAAACTTGGCTTGCCTCAAGTCTTTGTCACCTCAAGTATTGCTGCTACAAGTCTTTCTCATGAAGTATTACGACTCGCCTCAAGTCTTGCTTCCTAGTGTGGGAAGCATTCTTTTCTATTATCCAAGCTCCATAGCTGTTGTTGATTTAAAAGACCATACTGATATACAGTACCATGTGCCTGCAGTTAAGGTAGCTGGAAACCAGAGGTGGCTAACTAATGGCTAAAAAAAGCCAACTTTTAGGCTAAGACCACATATACAGATTTATAAAAATAGATTTAATAAAAAGAAAAAAACATTAAAAGATTTTGTATAACTAGTGTATAAAACCAAGCAGTGTTAAAAAAAAATAAACTACTCAGATTGAACAATGTATTTAAAAAGAAACAAATTATGTCTGGTTAGAGTTCATGTCAGGAACAAAAAGATGGTTTAATGTTTGAAAGTAAGTATAAAGATCACAATTGTAAATAATAGAGAAAATATATTTTATTATCTTAGTATCTGTCTTCTTAGTTTGTAAGAGTAATTTCTTATGGCAAGGACAGGGGTTATATTTTTATGGTGAGATTCTAAAGATGTTTGTTCTATAGGTGGAATAAGTCTTTAATGTTTTCTGTTGTCATTTAGCATCAACAAAGCAAGAAACAAAAGTAAAAATAGATGATTGTTAGGGGGACGTGAAGTGCATTTTCATAATAAATTCCAAACTATGCAGACTTTAAGATATAGTTAAGCTATCCAGATACAAAATATTTTTTTAAGATTATCCAAGTACTTATGTTTATTATTATTCCCTATACTTTGTGGATTGCGGAGGGGGGGAAAGACAGGCAAAGAACACTGAAAGGAGACAATACAGACTCATATTTATGAAGGCCCAAAGTGCAAAGGAGGACAAACGCAACAAGCCGTCATATATCTCAGGCAAATGAAAAATACTAGTTTGGGAGCAGAGGAAATAAGCTGAAGATGTATTGACAAGGCTAGATCATGAGAACCTTTGTCTGCTGAGCTAAAGAGTTTTAATATTATGCTGAAGCACTAAGCTAATAAAGCATTTCTGTTAAAAAGAAAAAAAACACAATTCATATTTGTGGATAGCTTGCACAGATTGAATTAAGTAGTTTTATGAAGATTCAACCCCAGTAATACTTCAAGTATTCAGTAGAAATGCACTAGCAACCTACAGCCAGCAGAAGATAAAATAAATGAATGGGACCTTCTAAGAATCAAATCCCTATGTACATCCAAAAACTTCCCCAACAGGGTAAAAAAAGGAAGCCACAGACTGGGAAAAAATATTTGGCAATGGCATGTCTGATAAGGGACTTATATCTAGCATTTATAGAATACTTTAGTGCCACAACAAAATAAAGGAAAACAACCCAGTTGCAAAATGGGCACAGGATATAAACAGACCAGCAAAGAAGACATTCAGAAGGCAAACACATGAAGAAATGTTCAAAATCCCTAGCTCTAAGAGAGATGCAAATCAAAACAACTATGAGATATTATCTCACCCCTGTCAGAATAGCAAAATTTAACAGAACAGCAAGCAACAAATGCTGGCGAGGTTGTGGAGAAACTGGAACCCTGATTCAGTGTTGGTGGGAGTGTAAAATGGTGCAACCCCTGTGAAAAGCAGTATGGCGCTTTCTCAAAAAGTTGCAAATAGAGATACCATTTGACCCAGCAATTCCACTACTGGGAATATACCCTGAAGAGACCATAGCTGACATCCAAGCAGATATATGCACACCCATGTTTATTGCAGCTTTGTTCACAATAGCAAGGAGTTGGAAACAACCTAAGTGCCCATCAACAAACGAATGGCTAGAGAAGCTGTGGTATATTCGCACAATGGAATACTATGCTGCATTAAAAAACAAGGAACTCATGCAACATTATTCAAAATGGTTGACTCTGGAGAACATTATGCTGAGTGAAATATCCCAGTCACAAAAGGACAAATATTACATGATGCCACTGTTGTAGAATGGGACTGTCCTTGGGGTTGGGGAGAGACTGAGTAAGATGGGTTCAATAATGTATACTGCACTGAAACAGAGGAGGGAGAAAACTGTTTAAAAGAGATATATAACTAGGTATTTCTGTCATCACAGGAGTCTAGAGCGAGGGCTTCATGGTGGAGGGGACCTGGGGGAGGGTTTGTAAAACAATGAAAGAATCTTTTCTTTTACTTTTCCATAATCTTTGACTCATGTACTTATAACTGGTTAGTCAAATTTGTGTCTTCTAGGTTGCAACACCCCCATGATACATCTTCAAGGATATGAACATGTACGGCCAAGCACAATCAATAAGAGTGCATCTAAATTCCAAAATCAATCTCCATAATAGTCTATGTGTTTCCTACTGCCAAAGGGGCCCTTTAGAGTAGTGAGAGAAGATCTTCACCCTGAAACCCACAGCGTCCCTTTTCAGCAGGAAGTAGCTAAGAAAATACGCCATCCCCTTTCCCTTATGACTCAGGGTGAAGTCTCTCTCAGGGAGGAGTGATAGGGAATGGCAAAGGACACACTGACAAAGAAGATTAATCAGAACTGCCTTTGACAAGCACTGTGGCATTTGGACAAGAACAAACTGGCAGGAGGGTAGAGAGAATAGTGCAACAATGAATGAATGGAAACTCAAAATCTCTGTAAATGTTTATGAAAATTAATAAAATATAATTATAGAAAAAAAAAAGAATAGCAAAATTCAGCAGAGCAGCAAACAAATGCTGGTGAGGTTGTGGAGAAACTGGAACCCTTATTCATTGTTGGTGGGAGTGTAATATGGTGCGACCACTCTGGAAGGCAGTATGGCGCTTTCTCAAAAAGTTGCAAATAGAAATACTATTTGACCCAACAATTAATTCCACTACTGGAAATAAACCCTAAAGAAACCATAACTGCTACCCAAACAGATATATGCACACCCATGTTTAATACTGCTTTGTTCACAATAGCAGAGGGTTGGAAACAACCCAAGTGCCCATCAACAAATGAATGGATAGAAAAGCTGTGGTATATTCACACAATGGAATACTTACTATGCTGCAAGAAACTCATGAAATACACAAAATGGGTGACTCTATATCTCAGTCACGAAAGGACAAATACTACATGGTGCCACTGTTGTAAAACGGGACTGACATCAGGGTTGCGGAGAACTTAAGAGGGGATAAATAATGTATACTGCATTGAAGCAGATGAGGGAGAGAACTCTTTAAAAGAGATGATTAGATACTATTGTTGTGACAGGAGTCCAGAATGAAGGCTGCATAGTGGAATAGACTTGGGGGGAGGGCTTGTATAACAGTAAAAGAATTTTTCTTTTACTTTTCAAAGAGAAGAGTGAACTGCGGGCAAGGGTGGACAGGGAGAAAAGTGCAACAATGAATGGAAATCCAAAGTCTCTAAACTTTCATTAAAATTAATAATAAAAAAGAAAAAGAGCAAAGCAAGAATTATCTGATAATAAAAGTAAAAAAAAAAGAAATGCATTAGCAGACATTTATTAAGAATTTTACAATTACAGACTCTAATGGAGACTACTTCGTAAAACACATGCGTCTGAAAACTCTATGAACTTGAAGAAACAGCAATAGTTATAGAAAGGCTTCAGCCCTTTTGTTCATAGGGTTGCCATGAGTCGTGCTCAACTGAACGGCAATAAACAACAACAAAAGCAACAATGGAGGCTAAAATGGGTTAATTTGAAAAGATTCTCAAAATGTTGGCATTGCTTCTCTGAAATATAAAGAATATGTGAGTAAAATAAAGAGCAAGTTAATAAATCTTGTATTAAAATATTGGAAACTGTATATTAGTAGATAACAGAGGCATTAATTATATCATGTAGTTTTATCATAATGTTGAAAAGATAAAGGAATACTTCTAGCACTATTACGGGACAATTTCCAAGTTATATTACAATATAAAAAAAATCAAGTTTATATAGAAAAACTCCAATTTGTGTATAGTCTTCATGTTCA